AAGGATTAAACGATAATTATAGAAATGTCAGGAATCATGAATTGACCAATATTAATCGGATTTAATTTATTTAAACATTACTATGATTTTGAGATCATACTAAGTTGATGGTGAAATCCTCTCTTATTTCATGTACTCATTCTCAAGTTATACACAAAATACTCATTTTCATAGAAATTCACTATATCTCTATGTTAATTAAATTATAAAAATATTTATTAAAATCAATGGATTTAAAAATGACCACATAAAAATAGATAGTTATATCTCTATACTATCTTAGATTTCACAGTATTTATTTTATAGCTATATCACAAAGATCTCCCCTCGGTTTCATTTTGATCTCTAGTTGTTTCATTTTGATCCTTAGTTCATTCAAAAGTTGATAAGAAATTTTAAAAGCATTAAGTCCAAAAATAAATAAGTCAACCTAAATATGACAATCATAATAACATTTTTAATAAATTAAATCCCCATAACTACGTCATTATCCCGGTAGAACTAAACTTAGAACATAATTATAATTGAACTAACACAACAAAATAATTCAAATAACATTTTTATAATGATAAAATACTACAAAAAGTAAAGTTTTAGTACAAACACCGGTGGTAGATACAATTTTTGATCTACTTCAGAAATCTCCCAACAGAATCTGGAACTTCTCCTCCACAAACTAAAAGGTATACTTACGTAACTAATCCTATATATACATACCGCTCTCAACTTGATAGAAAAATAAAATTATTATGCACATGTTACAAAAATTTAGGTTGCTTGTTGAGGATTGGCATGTCGATTTGATCTCGAGCTAATTAAATGCTAGAATCAGAAAGAAACGCGGCGAAAAATAAATAAACACACTGTTCATAGTAGTTCATCTTCAATGTGAAGGCTATTCCACTATATGTATGAGAAAATTACAATTACCATGAAGAAAACAAAGAAGGGAGAATGAATGAGGTGATCTAGAGAGAGAGAGAGAGAGAGAGAGAGAATAAATGAGCCGAATGTGGGATGTACAATTTGCGGTGTTAATTTCACATTTATAGGAGATGATTTAAGCCTTTAAAGTTATGGGGCTGTTTGATTCCGTTTTCATTTTCGTTTTTCACGTTTTCCAAGAACTAAAAATTAAAAATGCTATGAGAAAGTCATTTGGCAGCATTTCTTGAAAAACAGAAAATGAAAACGTTTTTTCCTTTGTTCTTAAAAACTCAACAAAACTGAAAACGATTGAAAATCGTTTTCAGTTTTCCATTTTCATTTTCTTAAAAACTCAATTAAAAAATCAACCAAATTTCTCTACTTGAAAACAATCTCAGAATAAAACTATCAAACGCATTTTCAGAAATGATTCCAAAATGAAAATAAAAACGTTTTTATTTTCATTTTCATACAAAAAATAAAAACGTTTTGGAACCAATTCCAGACGCCGACGGCGCCCCCTCCCCCCACTCGTCTCCGTTGATTGATGAGGTAGTAAGGAAATGGGTTGATTGTTTATTTAATATATTATTAGTTTAAATATTATATACATGTTTTTAAAAATTAAACTATCAAACGCAATTTTAGTTTTTTTAAAATTGAAAACAATCTCAAAATAAAACTACCAAACGCATTTTCAGAAATGATTCCAAAATGAAAATAAAAGCATTTTTGTTTTCATTTTCATACAAAAAACAAAAACGTTTTGGAACCAATTCCAAACGCACCCTATCTTTTTCTGTAACAACCTCAAGAATTAAACATGTTTAATTATAATAATTGTGATTTATTAGTATGCCTAATTTGATTTTTTCTTAATTAATCAAGAAATTTTAAATTATTTTCAGTATTTATAATTCCACCCCAGAAGTATTTGGGAATACATACTTCCACCCTTTTCTTTTAACTTCCTTTTAATATTATCTTTTACTTTTCTTTATATATTCTTTTCTTCTTTTCCTTCTCTCATTTTCTCTTTTCTCTTGTCACACACACTCTCTCTCTCTCTCTCTCAGAACTCTCTTTCTCTCTTTCTTTCTCTCATATCTTTCTCGGCTCTCTCTATTTCTCTCTCTCGCGTCTCACCCTCTCTTTTTCTCAAGTTTTCCATCTCCCTAAGGGCGTTTTGAACTAGATCTAAACCAAATAGAAGATTTGAGGAGTTTTCAACACCAAAGGAAAGATCAAGGTAAATCCTTTGAAAAACTCATTCTTAGAATCTTGAATTTTCTTTGGTGAAACTTGATTTTAGTTTAGTTTGGTGAAACTTGAGTTAAACTTGATTTTAAGATGGATTTTAGTTGAAACCATGTTACAATTTGGGAGTTTTTGATTCTTTAAACTTGATTCAGTGATTGGAACTTGATTTTGATGAATCTCCATGAAAATATCTTGAAATTAAACTCGAAATTGCAGGATTTGGCCTCGTTCCTTGCGGATTGGCCATTTTTCTTGGCTGATCTGCTTCCCACAGGTTGACCGGGGTGGTCGACCGGTCATCACTCTACCAGCCCACCGGTGGAGTTGCACTCCTTTGTCACTGGTGCACACTAAATCCGACCCAGGAATGCTCGAAACTCTGTTTTGACCCCGACATTCAATGGAGAACCAACCTAACTTAATTTGAGAACTCAAAGTTAGTGGATTAGCCACAATAATCGTTGTTTCCATTCCATTTCTTTTGATTGAATTCTGATTCTCAAAGAATCATGATTTAAATTAAGAAATTTTTTATGAACTTTGATTTTGAGTCAAGGCACACTAATATGATATAATTGTATATAATTAAGCTAGATTGTTTAGAGGTGAGGTTTAAACTCTAAACCGTTGTTTTGATGACAAAGCTAGCAGAGGGATCGAGTGTTGAGCTTCAAAGACAAGTGGGGTTTGGGCGCTAAGAAGCTAGCCATAGAATTGATATCTAAAAGGTAGGATATTATTGTCAATATTCTTGTTAGTCTTGTTCTAAAGTATTTTGGTCTATGAAAATGTTTTTAAGACAAAACATGTTTTATAAAGAAAAGTGGTTTGAGGAAATAACATGATTTATGCTATTAAATTCATAATAAACTGAATTAAATTTTAACGGATATTTTTCTTAAAATAAGATGTTTTAAGAAACAATAACAATGCTAATGGCCTAGTGTGTTGAGCTTCATTTCAGTTCATTACTAAGGCATGTATATAAAATTATGGATGTAAACCTTAAATTCTATTAGACTGTGGTTGATGTCAGCACATTACTTTTCTGTATTTGTTTATGTATGCAGAATGTGGAAACCTTGTGGATGCCAGAGGCTGACTTTTAAAATTGATTTGATAGTGATTGTGGTTTTGTAAAGTCCGCCTCACTCTTTTATTAAAATTTAATTTTTTTAAAATAGTGGGGTTTATTTAAAAATTTCTATAATGTTTTACCTTGAAAATGATTTTAACATTATTGTATATTTAACCACTTTCTTAATTTGTGTTTAATTTCTAAATAAGCTTTTACATCACTATAGTATTTTTTTTAATTTGAATCATGGTTTATAGTTTGTTACAGTATTTTTTTCATAAAAAATATATGTAAATAAAAAATTATTCTAATTCATGAACTAAACGGGCTCTAATTCTTGTCTTGTCCAGGGGCGTGACATTTTCTTGAGCCAATGCGGTGTTGACTGGTGAAATGGGAAGTTTTCCTTTTTGGCTACAGCTGGCTTTGTTTTCTTATTTGATTTGCAGAAGCTTTCTCTCCAAACTTGATTTGATTCTTGCCTTTTTTTTCCAGATTTGATTGATTTGAACTTCGTGGCTTATCTTCTTTCCTAATTTAATTGTGGTAGTCTCCACGGGTCTCCAAGCTTCTGTATTTCTAGTCGATGTTACTTGTTTAGTCATCTTTCGTGAGTTGACTTTTTTCATTAAAGGTTGCACACAAGTATGGCAATTAATGAGGTACAAATTTTACCCCAAATAATTATGGTTTCGTATGAAATGATGGTATCATCTATTTACAGTTGTATCGCGTCGAAACAAAAGAGATCATTCATATGATTAAGTTCAGGATATTAATGACTAAAATATTAAAAAAGTGCAAAACTACCCTTTTATAATAGTTATATTTCTATTATTGACCATTTTAATCATAACAGCCTCTTTTAAGAGAAATACTGAACAGAAGAGTAATCTTGATTTTGCATTAAATTTTAAGGGTCTTAAAAGATATTGACACACATAATGCAACAAAACTCAGAAACAAACATGCTCTAAAAATAGATCTTTTAATCATAAATAAAATATGGTACTGTTATTGATTTGGATTTTCTTTAATTTTCTTTTCTTTTAATAAAGTTTTCTGTTTATTAAGAAAAATCAAATTAATATGAAGTGCAATTAAATATTTATTAATTACGACCGAATTCATTCATTGATCGAGAAAATTGGGTATTCTCGAAGACGTTTGGTTGGAGGATTCAAACTATGTGATTCGAACCATTTTTTATTTATGTGAATTTTTTATGAGAGAAAATACTATAGCGAACCACGAATCATAATTCGAATAAGGGAATGAATCCCTCTACCAAACATGATGACATTGATCAATTTCAACACCTGGCTAGAATTCCAAAATACTACTTTACAGAATCCAATCTCAACAACTCTCAAAACTTTGTACAATCAAATTCCCAACAACGTCTATAGACATTTTGGAAGCTGACAACTTTTCTTTTTTTAATTCTCTTATTCCTATTCTTCAATCATCATGCCTTATTTTATGCATTTTGTTCCTCAACATTTTCTTTTGACTTTTCCCAAATACCAAAGGACAATTTTTTTAACCCCTTCTTTTTTTCTGAAGTCACACCTCTTGACCTAAGATTTTCACCAGATTCATAACATGCACCTGCATTATGTTTATTACCTCAATTCCATGACAAAATCTTGGTTTCTCTATCTTCTCATTTTATTCCTCAACTTCCATGTATAAGTATATAATTCTAGATTCTAAAACCACTTAATTCTAACACATGGCTGCTCAAGGAGTCCATGACAAAGTTCACCACGTCGAAATCCCTGAAATCAACAATAATCACCAGCAAAAACAACCCAAAGAAGAACCAAAGGATGCCGCCAAAATCGACTACTCCGTTAGGGCACAGTGGCTAAGAGCCGCCGTGCTGGGCGCCAATGACGGGCTCGTGTCGATAGCATCCATAATAATGGGAATTGGAGCAGTGAAGAGAGACATCAAGGACATGTTGCTTGCTGGGTTCACAGGCCTAGTTGCTGGCGTGTGCAGCATGGCAATCGGAGAGTACGTGTCGGTGCACACCCAGTTGGACATAGAGATAGCGTAGTTGAAAAGGAACAAAGGCTCTTCAAGAAGTATTGGAGAAAATCATGAAGAGAAAATAATGAAAGATGAGGATGAGAATTTGCCTAATCTAGTGCAGGCTGATTTGGCATCGGCGGTGTCATTCTCTATCGGAGGCATGGTGCTGCTCATGTTAGAGAGATTGTAATATATCTCTCAATTTCGATATCACAAAGTTGGCCTAAAACACATTCGGGAAGAACAGGTGCGCACAAGCGCACGCTGCAGCGCGCAGGAGTGTGCGCTGCAGCGCACGGTCGCGCTGCAGCCTGCGCAAAACAGACCTATCGGGTCTGTTTTGTGAAGCCCGAGCGCTGCAGCGCACAGCAGCATGCGCTGTAGCGCGCACAAAACAGACCTCTCGAGTCTGTTTTGCGTTGCCCGAGCGCTGCAGCGTGAATGTCATCCGCTGCAGCGCAAATTACTAACGAAAAACGTGTTTTCGTGCGTTTTAATGATCTGAAAAGGTCTTGAACCATTGCATCCATTTGTGATATGTTTTCTCACATATCTGAGCACTTATTAACAATAGAAATAACTATTGATATAAGTGCATCAGCATATAAAAGATAACCTTCAAATTGAAAAGGTATCTTTATGTGAAAGGTTGTAACACTTAAAGAGGATGGATGCATCCCTGTCTTTAATTAATGGACTTCAGAAAATACAGATTTTTATTATTGTTCTGGAACTCAATAAATTTTGTTGGATATTGTTTTCAAGGGTTTGTTGTATCTTGGGGGTAATTTGCCATTAAAAACTCATTAGCAAACTTTGAGAAGTGAGGGCAAATAAAACCTTAAAGGAAAGTATTCCTATATGCCACAAACCCTCTTTCTGCTTTCTCTATTCTTTTCATCCTCCCAAATTCAAATTTCAACAATCTTTAAGGTTTAATACTTGCTGCAATGGAGGTTGAAAAGAACATGACGTCTTTCCTTAATCCTAATGTTCAACTTGATTGTTTTGATGGTACTAACTTCACCCGCTGGAAGGAAAAGTTGTTCTTCCTTCTCACCGTGCTTAAGATCGCCTACATGCTTGATCCGAAATTGGAGCCACTTTCTGAACCAAAGGAGGATGATTCCGAAGAATTAAAGACCGCAAGAAAGAAGCGTGGAGATGATGAAATCATGTGCCGGGGTCATATTCTCAACACTCTCTCTGATAGGCTCTACAATCTTTACAACTCGATGGAGTCTCCGGTGAAGATTTGGAATGCTCTCGAATACAAATACAAAACTGAGAAGGAAGGTACGGATAAATTTCTCATCTTGAAATTTTTAGAATTTGTCATGGTTGATACCAAGTCCGTTCTAGATCAAATACATGAATTGCAAGTCATTGTTACTAAGCTTCGTGAATTGAAAGTTGAGATTTCTGAATCATTCCAAGTGGGAGCAAATATTGCTAAATTGCCTCAAAGTTAGAATGGTTATAGAAAGAAACTCCTTCATAGGAGAGATGACATAACTTTGGAGGAATTACAAAAACACTTGAGAATTGAAGAAGAGACTAAGTCTCGTGATTCCAAGAACAAAAATGTAGATTCCTCTAAAGTTAATGTTGCCGAAGCTAGTAAGTTCTCAAAGAATTTCAAAGTCAATAATGACAAGAAGTTTAAAAAGTCCGGTAATGGCCAAAAGAAATTTTCTGGAAATTATTTCTTTTGTGGAAAGAAAGGCCATCGCCAAAATGGCTGCAGATACAAGAAGAAAAGGGAAGAAGTTAACACCAACAATGCCAATGTCGTTGAAGAGAAATCCGAAGACATTTGTGCCATGGTCTCGGAATTACAAATTGGCATGATTACCGAAACTAACATGGCTGCATCTAGATCCTCCGATTGGTGGCTTGATTCCAGTGCCACAATCCACGTTTATAATGACAAGACTATGTTCTTATCTTACAAAGTGAAAAAGGAAGGACAAACAGTTCTTATAGGGAATAATGATGCAGCGATGGTTGCCGGGAGAGGAGTGGTGGAGATTAACTTTACTTCTGGAAAGAAGCTTACATTGAACAATGTTCTTCATGTTCCTGATATTAGGAAAAATCTTATATCCGCAAGTCTAATGTGTAAGAATGGGCTTAAGATTGTACTTGAGGGCAATAATTGTATTGTATCTAAGAATGAGATCTTTGTGGGAAAGGGATATTCTTGTGATGGCATGTACAAACTAAGTATTAATAATAAAGACGATGTGAATTCTCTTTATATTGTTGATTCTTTTGATGTTTGGCATGCACGTTTAGCACACTTAAATTTTAGATCTTTGAAATATATGTCTAAACATGGTTTGATTAATTGCAAAGATATTAAAAATGATAAGTGTGAAATTTGTATACAAGCAAAGATGACTAAGAAACCTTTTCCTAGAGCCGAATGTAATACTCAAATATTGGATATGATTCATACCGATATTTATGAGTATAATGGAATTTTGACTAGAGGAGGAAATAGATACTTTATCACTTTCATTGATGATTGTTCTAGATACACTTTTGTATATTTACTTAGAACAAAAGATGAAGCCTTTGATAAATTTAAAATTTATAAGGCTGAAATTGAGAACCAAAAAGACAAGAAGATCAAAATGGTTCGAAGTGATAGAGGTGGTGAATATTTCTCAAATGAATTTGATGCTTTCTGTGAAGAGCATGGTATTATTCACCAAAAGTCAGCCCCTTTTACTCCTCAACAAAATGGATTGGCTGAAAGAAAAAATAGAATCTTTACCGATATGATTAACTATATGTTTCTTAATGCTAAGTTGCCTAATAATTTATGGGGGGAAGCTTTACTTACAGCATGTCATGTTCACAATATGATTATATCTATGAAAACACATGTCTCTCCACATGAAGTATGGAAAGGAAGAAAACCAAATTTGATGTATTTAAGGGTGTGGGGTTGTCTAACCTTTTATAGAATGATTGACCCTAAATCATCAAAGTTAGGAGCTAGAGGTATTAGAAGTGTTTTCGTAGGTTATACTGAATATTCCAAGGCTTATAGATTATTGAATCTAGATTCTAATGTTATTGTGGAATCAAGAGACATTGAATTTGCTGAGAACAAGTTTAGCCTTGATTCTTCCATTAAATTAGAATCTAATGTTAATCAACCATATGTTGACATTCCCGGTATCTCCACTAATAAAAGGAAAGAGTCTATGACATCTTTCGAACCAAGAAGAAGTCAACGTGAAAGAAAAGAAAATGACTTAGCACCGGATTTTATTTCATCTCAAGCTTTAACCTTTTTGGTTGAAGGAGATAGAAATGGTGTACTTAATAAAATACCATTCTTGCTTAATATAGAAGAAGATCCAAAGACATTTAATGAAGCTATGTCTTCAAGGGATGCCTCCTTTTGGGGAAAGGCCGCGAATGATGAAATGAATTCGATTATCTCGAATCAAACTTGGATCTTGGTCGATCTTCCTTCGGGATCAAAATCAATAAGCAACAAATGGGTATTTAGAAGAAAGTGTAATACCAATGGGTCTATACTAACATTCAAAGCTAGATTAGTAGCTAAGGGCTTTAAACAAAAACGTGGTATAGACTATTTCGATACATATGCTCCGGTAGCTAGATTGGCATCCATAAGAGTGTTATTTGCAATTGCATCAATACGCAATTTGCATGTGCATCAAATGGATGTTAAGACGGCTTTTCTAAATGGTGATCTTGATGAGGAAATCTATATGGAACAACCCGAAGGGTTTGTGCTACTTGGAAATGAAAAGAAGGTTTGCAAGTTAGTCAAGTCACTTTATGGTTTAAAGCAAGCACCAAAATAATGGCATGAGAAATTTGATAATGTCATTTTATCTCATAGTTTTGGTGTGATAATATGCTTATATGTTGATGACTTGCTTATCTTTAGAACAAACATGCAAGGGGTAAATGATACCAAGAAATATCTAACTTCACAATTTAAAATGAAAGATCTTGGTGAAGTAGATACTATCTTAGGTGTAAGAGTGAGGAAGCATAGTGGGGGTTACTCATTGTGTCAATCTCATTATTTTGAGAAGGTGCTTCTTAAATTCAATCATTTGAAGTTTAAAGAAGTAAATACCCCATATGATTCTAGTATTAAATTACTAGAGAATGCAAGCAGAGCGGTGGCACAGCTTGAATATGCTAGTGTAATTAGTAGCTTAATGTATGCTATGCATTGTACAAGACCTGACATAGCATTTGCGGTATGCAAAATGTCAAGGTTCACGAGTAACCCGGGTATTGAACATTGGAATGCAATTGGAAGAGTACTTGGTTCTCTTAAAAGAACCATTAACTTGGGTTTGTCATATAATGACTATCTGACCATACTTGAAGGGTACTCGGATGCAAGTTGGATAACAAGTGCAAGTGATAATAAATCCACATACGGTTGGATTTTCACAATTGCAGGAGCTGTCTTTTGGGCTTCTAAGAAACAAACGTGCATAACTCACTCTACGATGGAGAGTGAGTTTATAGCACTTGCCGCTGCAGGCAAAGAAGCGAAATGGCTAAGAAATCTATTGCTTGATATTGAGTTGTGGCAACAACCTATGCCATCTATTTCTTTGTACTGTGATGGTGAAGCTACTTTGTCTAGAGCTTATAACAAAGTTTACAATGGAAAATCTAGATATATTAGCTTGAGACATGAATATGTTAAACAATTAATAACCGATGGTGTTATTAATATTGTTTATGTTAGGATAAACAAGAACCTAGCGGCCTTTGACGAAAGGTCTTTCAAGAGACTTAGTCAAAGAAACATCTAGTGGAATGAGACTGAAACCTTTCTTTGAAAGAGTCACCAATGATGGTAACCCAACTATGTAATAATTGTACCGCTATTCCATAGTTAAATGGGTAAGAACAAATTATTGTTATGTGACCGGGTTAGTGCCGAACTTTAATTAGTCCATTCTAAGATATCAGTGCAAAAATAGCTATGTGGTTGAAGTTGAGTTTATA